ACCTTAGAGTTTTGAAAAGGATTTACTCTGTGTTAACAACCTACTGAGCCTACTGGTACAACCTGAAGCAATTCTATGGGACTGATAACTACTAATAACAGCCATTTAATGTGATGATAGCATCTGTAGCAGCTGCAAAAAGCCACTTAGTATTAACTGTGTATTGGAAGACAGAATCAAAATGAGGAGGAACCCATGAGGATATGAACAGGTCCTTTCTATTAGAATAACTTTTTAAGGATTCTTTTTCACCTGCTGCCAGGTGATTTTACCTAAATAGAATACATTAATCTATTAGCATTCAAGAAATAAACCTGTAATTTTAGCAAGCCTTTCGGAAATGTATTAGTATGACTGAATCTGTATTTCTGATATCTGAAAAAAAATCCTTGTCAAATTGACTATTTTAAAACAAAATCAAATTCTCCACAACTAGAATAAACATTCTGGATATCTCGAATTGAATTCAAGATCTCCATATTCCTATTGTTAATAATCCGTGTATGGTTTGTTCTTTGTTTTCGTTTCAAAACAAAAACGAAAAAACAAAACAAGCATGTGGTTTTTTGTTTTTCTGTTTTTAAAACGAAATTATAAAAACAGCATTTGCAAAAAAGAAAAAAGGGTACGTTTTGGGATTGTTTTAACTGTAATGGTTTAACCTAAGTCAAACTTTTATTTTGTTGTTAGTTCAACAGACCTTATGGCAGAACTGGAAAAACACATAACTTTTTTAGTTACCAGTAGGTGGCGGTAATGTACGCCTTCAATTTCTTGCCAACCGCCATTACAATCCACACGAAGAAGAACGCATCACTGATTTTAGAGTGTGTTTTTCCTCTCTCAAAAAGTTCGATAATCAATGCGGACAACGGTTGCAGCCATTGCCTTTTGTTTAGAAATGGTTTGTTTTGATGCCGTCTTCATCCACTTTAAATCATTTTTCTTTCGCGACTTACTTCATTTCCGGTACAGCTACATATCAAAACAACAACCGTATTTTATTTTCATTTAGATGGCAAAGCAAAACTCAAACGCTGTTCATTTTCTATTAATTCGATTTTTCCTTTTTTCGATTTAGGTTTTAAAAATGGAAAAACAAAAAAACCACACGCTTGTTTTCTTTTTCATTTTTGTTTTGAAACGAAAAAAAACAAAGAATGAACCATACACGGATTATTACTGATCATCATTTGTATTATTTTGACTATAAAGAAATCTGNACCTACTGGCTATATTTGCAGCCGTCTGGCTTGAAGTCATCTTGAATGAATCTTTCCTGCTCATTTGAATGTAAACGTTATGCGCGTCCCTATAAAACTAATCGATCTCATTCCCTTGACATCGATTTTGCTAAAATGTGAAGGAATCGATTTAAAATCGATTAAATCGATTTTTTTTACCCAGCCCTATTGTACATACACCTGTAATAATATTTATATCCTGTATAGCACTTCTGGATAGATGCAAACCACGTTTTGTTGCTTTGTACTCGTGACAGTGCAATTACAACAAAGTTGAATTCTATTCTATTCAATTCCTGCTGCTACCGTCTGTATTATGCTGCGTTCACGCCAAACGCAGCAGGAGCTGCAAGAGCAGCGAGTTTACATGCAAAGTCAATGGTTGGCGCAGCAAAAGGTCCTGCAGCGCGTTTTGAGCAGCAGGAGCAGCACGTCTGAGAAGCTGAAGCAGTGCGTCGGGAGCGTTTAAGCATCTGACGCGCGGGACGCGCCGCAAACACGCTGCTGATCGAGATGGAAAACTTTAACTTTTGCGACGCATCAACCAATCAGAGACGCTGATCTGGGAGCTGGAAGGGAGACAGACACATCGCTGATGATACAGATCACTATGATCACACCTCTGAAACAGTTTATTAATGCCTAAAGTAACTTAAAATGTAGAAACCTGCCAACAAAACATGTTCGCTTTTATTGCCCTGGTGCTTGCAGTTTGGATTATGTATATGAAAACCGCCTTCCAGCCGCCGCGGCGAACCGCGAGGAGGCAACGGGGCCAGGGGCTACTGTTGAATGGGATTCCTACTGACAGTGCACCGCCAGTATGTGGGGGTCTGAGCGGCTCCGACAGAAATAATATTGGAAGGAAGGATGGTAATCTGGATGAACTGACTGCAGTGGTTAAGTTTTCAGGTGGATTTCCCCACTTAAAAACATATTAAAACTACTTTATTCGCGCTGATCACAGCAAATATAGCTGCAAGGCAAAGAAAGGATAGAGTAGCGCCGCCCAACGTGAGTCAGACCCTTCAGCCACGTCAGACCTAACTGGTACAAGCAGCAAAAATGAAGCAGCAGAAGCGTTTTTGCTGCTCCTCGAACGCAGCTTAAGAGGGGAAAAACAGTGGCCGTGGCCACCCCTGGCCCCCCATTTAGCTCCGCCCCTGTGCCAAGGGACCTTTTAGATGTGAACCGCCGATGGGATTCATATTCAATGAAAAGAAAAGGCCACTACTCTTCCAAGAATATATAACCTGACTGTCTGGGCTTTTTAATAGGACTGGTAGCCTGCACCATTAAAGGAAATTAAGGCAACAGTTGAGCGCGAGACACTCACAGGGCGTCATGGAGGTCATGTGATCCAAACAGTAAAGTCTCAGAACATCCAACAGCTGGATGCTGCCATGAAACCAGAGGAAACTGGACAGGCTGACGCTGGATGAAAGCCTCGCTTTGGATTCCACATGTTTAATTATTCAGTGTTTATTTTAAAGGGCGATGTGGAGCCGCCATGTATATCAGTAGATACAAATAAATACACATCCATCCCTGATAGTCGAGGAGGTTTCAAGGAGTGCTGCGTTCAGGTCGCTGATTTCACCGGGAATTGACATAACTAATTACTTGCATTTTTTTATTAGGTCGCAGTGACAACTAACATATAAAGTGGCTAAATATTGAAGTTTTTACTTACATAATGTTCGTAGAATTTAGAAAGCCTCGGTTTGCCGTGGTTGTTGAATATTAAAATGGCTTTAATCATGATTGCAGCTGAACGGAGAGAGGCGGGGAGCGGGTTCTGTCAGCTCCGGAACAATCCGGACCTGACTGAGTTAAAGGACTTAAAATCCCGTCTCGATCTAATGGCTTTCAGTTTGACCGTGCTGCTACTTCACCATCGTCTCGGCACGGAAATATTCCACGTCAAAAGGAGCAGTCATCCCCTCCTATCGCTACGGAAGCCGCGATGGGTTGAAACTCCTCATTTTCTTTTTTTTTTTTTTTTTCCTTCTTCTTCTTCTTCTTCTTCTTGTTGAATTTTTTATAGCGGTTGGCAAAAACGTTAGGTGAACCTTACCGCCACCAACTGGTAAGGAGTGTGAACCACATGGCAAAAAACAACAACTATATCCTGTTACACAATTTAATCTGTTTCAAAAGCTCAAATATAACCTGATATCCTCCGATTCATTTTTTTTTTCATTTTGCAGTAAATCAACAATGTCAAGTTTCATTTTCATATTTCTAAGTTTCCTAATTAACTTGTTTCTCTGAATCAAATATTTCCTACAACTCAAACTAACATGTTCCCCACAGTCACATTTCCCTGTCTGATATTTCCCTATTAAACATAATGACCAGTTCAATCCTGTGTGTCCTATTCTAAGTCATGAAATATTTATCTCTTCTCTCCTTTTCCTTTCTGTTCTTCTCATTTGTCCAATTCTCTTTTTGGATTTTATAAAAACACCTTCCTTTCTTTTTTTTCTTCCCATAACTTTTGCCACCTCTCTTTTGTTTTTTGTTTAATTATACCCTTTATTTCTGTTATACTACAACTAAAATTAATCTATCTATCTATCCTTACCTTATTTGTACTCTCCTTAACCATCCTGTCAGCCATTTCATTTCCTTTAATCTTGTTATGTGCCAGAACCCAAACAAAATTTACTACTAGGCCCATCATATTTCTTCTGTAAAGTGTTTGTTGTATTTCAGTTAATATATCTGGCCTACTGTCTGACTGATTTTTTTGCAAACTTTTTTTTCTTCTTCTTAAAGCCTAATTACCAACACCTACAGTAATGGTCCGGAGTATGAGTCAGACAATAGGCTTAAAGTCTACACTCTGCGCATTCATACCCCCCTACACACAAACAAATGTTTTTTTCTTACATGTAGTGAGGACCATGTGAGGACCATGTGTTGACTCCCATTGATTTTTTAGTCATTTTCAACCCTTTATATGTCCTAACCCTGAAACTAACCCTAAACCTAACAATTACCAATGCATACCTAACCCTTACCTCATTGACACCTTTGCCCGTTACCTAACAATAAGAAAAATACCCTGTGATGACCAGCAAAATGACCTCACTTTACAACAACTGGTTCTCATTGATGTTGAAATTGGAAAATGTTCTTCACTCTGATGCCTAGACAGGTACACACCCACAGACACACACAAAAACGTACCTACAGCCAACTATAAATTCATGTCTTCTTTAAAAATGACAGAAAAACCCTAACCTGTGGTCTTCTACCATAACCCACAACACTTAAACTCAACTCCTTCACATCCAGTTCCTTAAGCCTAACTGTCAAGATCTTGCATTGTTAGCCCTGCACCTTAACACCATATTCTATACAGTCTCTTCTTACTGGCAACCTTCCCTTCTCCCTGTCTCATGTTTCCTAATTATGTGGAAGGTACTGTTAAGCTTGCAATGACCTAACCTAATTCGTGTGATGACTGATTCCTCCTTCCTAAACTCTCCCTGCACTACTTTCCAGTATCCCACTGTCTTTGCCACTCATCATTTATAAATCTCCACACCATGCAGTTGCCTTACATTTACTTAATTTAACTCTAATTTCTATATTACCTTTATTAAGATCCAGTTTTGCCAGTTTCCCTGCAAATTTTTATTATTTTATTTATTTTTTGAGATATTTGGAGACAACCCTCTGACCACCATCAGTAGGCAATGAAGGTGAAATGTCTTGCCGGGGCTTGAACCGAAAACCATCCAATCGCAGGGCAAACTTCCACACACAACGCCACTGCCGTCCCCCCCAAGGCACACTAAACCTTGTTCCTTCATCAAATCCTCAGTCGCCTTGCCATTGTAACAAGTGTGAAAGCCCCCCACCCCCACACGTTACTATGAGCAATAAACTCACCACATTAATGACCCTGTGATATTTTGCCCTTGAACATAAAGTAGACTCTGTAACTCTAACACGTTTAATGGATTATAGAAGTTTATAACTGCAGTGGTTTTTATATTGTTCCAAATTTCCACTACTATGTACTCCTGATTGTCACCCTTTCCTAAAATCCTGAATGGAATGTATTGTTTTATAAACACAGCACACCTTCCTCCCCACCATGCTCCCTATCATTCCTGATAATAACTTAATATCTACTGATCTGGAAATTAAAGGATGGTCTAAAGCACGTTTCTTAACTTCAGGCAAAACTGTGAATTCTGTAATGAAATTCTTCAACTCCTGGCCATTAGCCAGTAAATTCTTTGCATTCCACTGAGAAATAAGCACTGTTATGAAAAATAACAGCATTGTGAATCCTGATTTGACTGATTAGTGAGGTTTTCCCTCACCTCTTCCAATGTCAGTCCGACTAAACCAAGATGGTTTGCTGCCTTCACTAAGATCTGACTGTTTTAATTTTATTTCTGTAGCACTATTGATTACCACAGCACTGACTATTACTAATGCAACCTTTCAATAAAAAAACATTTTTAATCTTTTTTTGAGACATTGGAACATTTGGTGTTCTATTTCTGTTCATCACACTGCTTTAGACTTTGTTATTTTCATTGAATGCATAAGACATCTTCCTCTCAACGCTCACTTTTTGTACCTGCTTTTCTATTTTCATGGCCTGATATTCAGCATCAGCCACACTATGGCCCCCTCCACACATCTGGGCTGCACTCCTGTCCCACACTTTCCATAATCGTGGTCTCAACATATAAGCTGTAACCGGGTAGGTCATAAATCCCCAAAATACTGTATTTGGTAGGCTTTCTTCCTGAAACTCGGTTAGAATAGTCTTAATGCCTTTTTTAACACCATTTTTAGTGGAAGTCATTCTTTTTAGATTCATCACTTTAAGAGGTTAAGGTGATTCTGTAAATCTTCTCTTCCCATACACTTACAGGCACCACTGTTTTTACTCCCTCACTCCCACCACTTTTCGGACTCCCCCGCATCCTGTGTTCTTAACCTTAAATTTTACCCAACTTTTTAATTTCAAGAGCTTTTTTAAGCTGCTCTTCATTTGCACACTGAGCACAAAGGTTTCCATCACCAATAACTTTATTTTTCCTAGCTTAGCCAAAATAAAGGAAGTCAAGTTTTTGACATTGTCAAAGTGTCTTTTTGTTAAATCACAAGATAGCAATAAACTTAACTATTCTTGATTTTTCCTTGGGTTGAAACACATCTGAAGCATTTTCAGATATGATTATCTGAATCATTATCTGACATGCTGTCACTTCTCTGTTCATCCTGTGTTAACTTCATCCATCATTTCAAGGTCTACCACGTCCTCCAAACCGCCCACTTCTGACCCACTCATGGAACAGTCGCGCTTGACCACGGGTAGAGAACAATCCACACTAAGGTTTGAATTATCCACAGTTTTCCAATTGCTTGTCCCAGCAATTTTCTATTTTAGTTTATTTCCCTTTTTGAAAGAGGCCATGCCAGAGTTAATGACACATCAGGGTATTAGAATAAAGTAAAACATTAATGAAGAGCAATAACCATTCCTTTAAATGAATTCTGTTTTTGCTCACTTCCATGCAACAACTTTTGATTTAATATTTGTTAAGTTGAATTCTAATTAATACTGTAAATGCATACTAAATTTTACAATGGTATTTAAATCATATCGTAAAGTACATTAAAATCTGGATGATAAGCCTGATAAGTAATTGGGACATTATAAACTCTATATCTATTTATTTCTCCTTTTAGTTCTTAGTGTCCTGAGGTATGGCTTCTTCCTTCTGTATTCTATTTTATTCTCTTTGACCTGGATCAGTCTTTTCTCTTTGGTCTAAATTTTAATTGGGTCTCCCTTGGTCTGTCTCTCTGGTCTCTTTCTGCCTTGGTTGTTCCACATCATCCCCTGGTTAACCTTATTGCATTCGTTTTCATTATCCACTCTTCCCTCAGTTATCAAGCTGTTGGTTTTTTTTCTGCTATTTTTTTTCCCATTACATTTTAATGAATGTCTGTTTCCTCTTTGCCCCATTACATAGGTCAAAGATTTACAGAAAGGTTTAGTTTAGGCAGCAAAACATCACCATTCGTTACAGTTCAGTTGAAACATGTCATTTGTTGCCAGATGATCTTTAAATATTATAAAAGCCTTAAGTACATCTGATGAAACCTTTAGCTAGACTATAATAATAATTCAACTTTATGGATCTCATACTGGAGAAATTTACCTGTGCATTTAACCCATCCCGTTGGGGAGCAGTGTGCTGCCATTGTGTGGTGCCTGGGGAGCAGTGGGAGGTTTAGGGTCTTGCTCAGAGACCCAGAGTGCAGGCTGTGGGGATTGAACCGGGTACTTGAAACCTTCTCAGAGCACAAGGGCACTGCTCTAACCACTAGGCCAACACTCCCCGCCCAATCAGTCTTGGTATAATTTCCAGCAGACTATAAGAAACAAACAGACAATAGACAGCAGAATTTAGTTTCCCATAAATGCAAGCAGTGACGATTGACAGATTACAGGCTTACGTGTCCTACTGAGTTTTTTCAGACAGATAAACAAAACATCACCATATTATTATTGCCCACCAGCTGTGGACTACTACTCCAACAAACAGGCAAAGTGGAGTGAGCAAGGAAAGGTGAGGGGGGAAAAAAAACATAAAATATATAGATATGATTCAGAAACTCCTCAACCCTTGTATGCAACTGAATATATCCATGCCTGATGAAGAAAAAATCTAAATACCTGCAGGTGGTTTCTTGGATTTTTTTATTTAAAAATCTTGGATCCATTCTATCTAAGCCAAAGTTATCATCCATGCTAAACAGGTAACATTTGTACAAATGAAGACTGTTGTTACTTAGTATGGTAACTGAAGGTCCTGGTTAATGAATGCTGCTTATAGAGCTTGTGTTGTTTATAGAGAATTAAATTTTTTTTTATTTTTCTCGAAAGGTCAGTTTTTTTCAACAGTGTAAATCTGTTCTGCAAATGGCTTTTAAATAACTCTGGGTTTACTCTACTACGAACTATAACTTTGTTTGCATTTGTAAATTTAGGTGAGCAGCTGCAAAGTAGAAGAAGAGATTTAACACAAATACCTCAAAAGTTTCAATTACAGTCTTATGTTAGAAGTGGAAAAGATTCCTTTCAAATCAAAAGTCTATTACATTTCATACTAAATTTTGTTATTTGTCATTTAATCTATTTTTTCAAGAAATTACAACATTCTGTTTCCTTTAGATTGAAAATCACCTCCGAAATCAAAGCAAATTTTAGGGAAACATGTTGAAAAAAATGAAAACATTCTCTAAATGGGAATTTGTAAAGTTAAGTTCAATTTTTTTTTTTGACTCACTTAAAGAGCAGCTTCTACTAAGCTGCTGCAGATCACTGGCACTACTTTGTTAACCTGACAACAGCCAGATGCATGTCTCACTCCGCCTAGCTGGGCGGAGCGAGACATGCATCTGGCTGTTGTCAGGTTACTACTTTGTAGGGTGCAGCTGATCCCTGTTGGTCCTGAAGCAAACTTTTCCTTTCAACCAGCAGGGGGCGCTTAAGAACATCTGGGACTGATGATGTGGCAGCTGCTGCTCAAATTTGGCTCAAGCTCCCATTCAAAGAAAGTTCTCCACTTTTCATGCTACAGGTAAACATAGTGGCCTGTATTCATCCTCAGCCAGAGAGGATTTTTCCTCTGACATGGTGCAATTTGCTGTATGACTGAAAACAAGTGCAATGTTTTCCTGCTGCATTGCCAAATCTACACCAAACCACTGACTACCATTTAAGTTTCATTCATAAATAATATATAGTGCACTTTTTTTTCTTTTAAGGTTTTGTTGTATTTCATTTAAAGCTCAACTAACTGGATATTTTGTATTTCTTTGCAACATACACACAGCAACAGTCAGAAAGCAAACATTATGTCTCCCGCACACACCACCCACAATTAGCTGCTTCACACTGGGCTTTGGGGGGTTTGGGGGATGGAAATAACTCCCTCCCCAAAACCCCTAAAATCCTGAATGGAAGGTTTGGGAAAGAATGTGTTCCACTCACAGGGCCGGTTTATGATAAGGTTGCATAACCCGGGGGAGCGAAAACAGCATGTTGGACAAGTCAGAAAAAACTCCTTGCAGCTCAATGTTAACATAGAAGGGCAAGATAAAACATGAAACACTTTGAGCTGTGGAAATGTACCCACTCTCTAAATATCTTAAGTATTTTTTGTTAAATGTGTGAGGAGTTAAACCAGATACAGATAAATCTCAATATTCTTAAAATAGGTTTTTCAGGTAAATAGATTTTTGTCCTCTTTGGTCATAAATTATTAAGCACATTATGAAGTCCAAACAATAAGCTGCATTTATTAAAAAAATAATTAGAAAAACTTACTGCACATTTATCAAGTATAGTCTTTTCATAATCCAAAAAAACTTTTCCATAACATTCATTTAAAGAGAAGTGCATTGTAGCAACATGGATTCTGCACATTTTAAGACTAAAAGTGGGTAAAGATTTTAATGGTGGTTTTACCTCCCTATTACTTCCATAGCCTTCCTGCATGTTTCACACTCATTAAGCTTTTCCACCCAACTTGTACAATTTTGACTTGACTTTGACTGTGCCATTCTAACCAATGAATACAATTTCATGGTAGTCTAACTGAAAATTTACATTTTTGATTTAGTCTTTTGCGAGCTTCCACATCTTTTTCTTCAGGATTGCTCTGTGTTTAACTCCATCCATTTTCCTAGCAGCTCTGGCCAGCTGATCTTTCCCTCTTTGAGCATGCAACCCTTTTTCTCCACCTTTATCCCCTCCTCCCCATCTTGTTTGGTGCTCATCTTGGACAGTGTGTTTGTTGATTTTCTGTTTAGCGGCTGCACAAACACAGGGTGCAAAGCTATTGTTAGAGAAATGCCTGGGAGAAAGAGTGAGATAAAAAGGGGGGGTGGAGGTTGTGTTTCTGACAACGTGGTGGAATTGGACTCATGGATTAGCCCAAACTGGTAATGAAAGAAAGTTGTATTAGTTTAGTTTAAAAGCTCAAAAGTTATTTTTACAAGAAGGAATGTTTAAAAATATGCACCCAGTTACTTCCAAAACAATCTGACATGCAGTAATGGAAAAGTTTATTAAATAGGTGATGGGCGTACACCTTCTCTTCTATAATGGTACAGTCCATTACCAGCGCGTCCCCAAATTGCTGCGCCAGCCTATAAAAGTTACCGACGGAGGAGATAAATCAGACGTTTTTATTCAAGGTTAATATAACAGAGCAAAGATCCTCCTGTGCATGACAGACATGGATCAAACTGAGGTAGTGAAGCCAGAAACTCTGGATGAGCTGATTGCAATCCTGCACAAGATCTTCGAGAGTGACTGCATCAATGTAGAGGAGGTTCAAAATATCATGGAATCATACGAGAGCAAACCTCACGAATGGATGAAGTATGCAAAGTTTGACCAGTACAGGTAATATATAATATTCATCATGCAAAGATTCATTACCAGATATAGTTTTATACGGGTTTTTTTTTTTTTTTTTGTTGATTTTGTTTACTTTAATTTGTTTAATTCGCCCTTTTTAACATGTTTTTTTTTTTTTAGTAAAGCTGTTAATAAAGTTTCTTAGAATTGTTCTCTCTTTAGTCTCTCTTTACAAATGAAGAAAACTTTGAATGAAAGAAGCTATTTGTTGTCTCCATCTTGTGGAACAGCTTCAGCTCACCTTATTTAAATAAAAAAAGGACATATTTGCATAATTAATTCCGATTTAGTTTCGATTTGAATCTTATACCAACCGTTGTTAGTCAATTTAAGAATTAAGACTTATTTAGAGAGAGAGAGAGAGAGAGATAAACATGACTTTGTTGCAGATAGTTTGTGTTGATTTGGAGTCAATGAAAAGCGGGTGAGGGGGGTTTATCCAATCAAGAGCCCGGAGGGACACACACACGCTTATTGCGCTGCAGGACGAATGGAGCTGCGCAAAAGGATGGCTTTGCGCAAAAAGGCTTTGCGCGGACCTGAATAACGCAATGTTTACAGAGAGAGACATAAAGAGAGAAATGCTAATTAAAAATGCTTTTTGATACTGAAAATGAAATGTTACAAATGCTTATGCGACATAAAGAATCAGACCTTCGGATACGTTCACTTTTAATTGTTGGTGACGCACAATATGATTACTTTACGCATTTGTATCCAAATACTGCATGGTGCATAAATCCTTTCCTGTTATTTATAAGGAGTTATTAATAATATTCATAGGAGTAGTAGTAGTAGTTTTATTTTACAGTCGTCTGAAATATTTTTGTACTCTTTTATTTTATCTTTACTGAATCCTTATCTGATTTTCTTGAAATAAAATAATGTAACTTTTGAAGTAAATGTTTTTTCTTATTTATGATATTGAACAATTCATTGATATTTTAATTTATACATATAAATAATGGATAATTGAGTAATTAAGTGTTTTTTATGTAAACATAATAAAAAAATTCCTGCCATTTTTTGCTATTAAGTGCAAATTATGACTCTCGTTTGTGTAAAGCCACAGGAATAAAGCTGATTTATCATGGCCCTTTTTCCCTTTCTAATGAAATGAACGTTTTCTTGTCTGCAGGTACACCAGGAATTTGGTTGATGAGGGTAATGGGAAGTTCAACCTCATGATTCTCTGCTGGGGTGAAGGACATGGAAGGTTGGTTTCCTCTAAAACAGATGATCAAATAACAAAAATGTATCCCTAATACTTATTAATAGTAAAATCACTGCATTGGTGCATTATGCAAATTTATACTAATTTAAATCACCGTAATAAGTGTCACTTCAAGCAAATGGCAATACAACACGTAAGTTCTAATACTAAATAGTTTTACATAATAAAGCCACTAAAAAATTATTACAATAAAACAAGTACTAAAGATGCAAGTATGTTATAGCTGTTTTCTTTTTTTCTTTTTTTTGGCTGCGGGATTTTATCTCAGTTCTGCGAAAGACAGAAAACTGGCCATCCTTTACATCCTAAAACTTGTTGCATGTATTGTTTGACACTTTGCAGTAGTATCCACGACCACACAGACTCCCACTGTTTCATGAAGCTGCTGCAGGGGCAGCTGAAGGAGACGCTCTTTGACTGGCCAGATCGCAAATCACATGATATGGTGCAAAAATCTCAGAGAATCCTCCAGGAAAACAAGGTTGCCTATATCAATGGTAAGAAAGCAAACTCTACTGTTTTTTTGTTGTTGTCGTTTTTGTTGTTTTATTTTGATTTTGGCATCCATTGTGTCTCATATGATATGCTGTTATATGTTATAATCCATATATTGGAGTTGTTTAAAGGAAATTTCCATTCTTAACTCATGTGACAGATGCTGATATAAAGCGTCTCAAAAATGTCCCAGTTAGTTGTGGCACAAATAAATGGATTACCGTTTCATTTTCCATCCTTGAGTGTTATGCTGTCTCTAAGCTTTTTTTTTTTGACAATTCTTATGTGTTTTAGACTCCATTGGTCTGCATCGTGTGGAGAATGTCAGTCACACAGAGTGTGCTGTGAGTTTGCACCTTTACAGTCCCCCATTTGAGACGTGCCAGACCTTTGACCAGCGAACGGGACACAAGAACACAGTAAAGATGACCTTCTGGAGCAAATATGGAGAAAGGACCCCACTTGTGAGTAGCCTTGTATTGCCTTTATCATTTAGAAACCCACTCAAAGGTGTGTCAAGTTTTGATAGCAGCTGTACAAACTGTGAAAGAGGTATTTTTAATAAATATCTTTCCTAACTAATATTTCTAAAATAACTGATCAGGTCTTTCTTAGCTAACACTGATACATGGTTTACTCTTGGCTCACATCTGCTAATTCAGCATAATTGTTCGTATGTTCGTAATAAATCTAAGAAGTATAACAAGAGTAAAATGGTAAACAGCAGATATGCACTGATCTGGCAATTTAACCTGACTGTGATATTTAATTTTATCAATATTGCCATGTTTGTGTAGCAGTGGTGAAATGTTAAAAAGATACTCTGACCATTCAATAATAATTTGAGTGCTGTTGATCATGCATGTGTACTAACAAGATTGTCCAAATGGATGTAGTTAAGCATATCCCCTTGTATCTTTATCTGTTTTCTAATAAACTCAAAATAACATGCAGATGGTTTTTAGACTACATGCAGTTTTTATAGACCAACAACAGTTTGATCTTATTTTTTATGCATTTGTTTTATTGTGTAGGAAAACAGTTTTCTGAACAAATGAAATAGAAATTTGTTGAATCGTATTTCAAGTGATGGTATTTTGGAGGATCTTGTCTTCCTAAAGTTAGTCTGGTCTCAAGACTATAATTACATGATTTCAAATACCTGATGTTTACATATATTTCAAAACTGATGAATAGAACAGGTATTTTTCAAATCTGTTTTTTTTTACTTAATAATTTATGTTTTGCAAATTATTGTATTGTAGTAGTCCCCTTAACAAACAGGTGCTTACTTCTATACCAAACATAGACTTAAATGAATCAATTTAACAATAAAAATATGTTTTCCTAAAGCCTGCTAATACAAATAGCAGAAATTTAGAGCATCTAGCAGTATGATCATCTGGTTAGTTTTTTGCCATGCTGCCTTCTATATCAGCCTTATCTATAATCTGTTGGTTATATAAGCATACCGTGACCATAAAACTTTTAAGTTGGTTCAATAGATTGCAACACAAAACTGCACAGATAAGATAAGCAACTGAGCATCAGCACACAATGAACTTAACCTGATATATACCCAATGCTCCAAACAGTTTCTGAAGAAGCATTTACCTCTCAGTGGTTTTCCTTACTTTTTACGTTTTTGTCAGATGGAAATGTTTCAGATCTTTAAAAATAAAATTCGTATCAATTAAAGTCAGCCACAGTAAACACAAACAGTGGTTCTCAAATGATGATTTTATTCATATTATTAAAAAGACCCCCCCCCCCCAAAAAAAAAAAAAAAAACAAAAAAAAAACACATTAAATAAACAATCAATTTTGATTGTCTTTTTCAGAAGATTTTTCTTCAGAGACCAAAGCCTGATTAATTGGAGGCTCTTAGAATCAGTGATTCATTCACAGTATAACTACTCAGCACCAGGTAGTAGGGTCAAAGTATCTCAAAAAGAAGAGCTAACATAAGAGAGAGGTAAATTATTCTAGATGTGACTAGTATATGAAAATGACCTCGGGGAACACTTTAAAAAATCAACCAGATCACACAAAACCACCAAAAAAGACCTAAAGCTCTATAGGTCCCACTTTCCTTAGTTAAAGTGTTCAAGATTTAACAATGGGAAGAGTACGACGGAGTATTAGGGCCACACATGAAGAGAAAAAATATTTTTGCTATGACGAGATTAAACTTTAAAGTCGACAGTCGACATTAAACTCAACATTTCGAGAATAAAGTTGAAATGTCATGTTGAGTTTAATCTCGACGTGTCGACTTTAAACTCGCCCTGTCGACTTTAAACTCGCCATTTCGAGAATAAAGTTGAAATGACTGACATGTTCTCAAATTCAGAACTGCGAGCCTGGGTAAGCATAGGGAAAGACGTTACGTTATTATTGGTAGGCCACCGCTTCCTGTGATGATTATACAGTTGCAGCACGTCAAAGACTACCTTCACTCTTAAAACGCGGACTGCAGCTGTGGAGCGCGGTTGCTCTTTTCTCCAAACTTTGGAATGTCGAGATTAAAGTCGCCACGATATATCAACTTTATTCTCGAAATGGCGAGTTTAAAGTCGACAAGGCGAGTTTAAACTCGACATGTCGACTTTAAAGTCGACATGTCGAGTTTAATCTCGTCATGGCAAAAATATTTTTTCTCTTCATGTGTGGCCCTAATACTCCGTTGTAGAAGAGCCTATCCATAATTTACTAGAAATCATTTAAAGATTTGTAAAAAATCTCATAGAATCTGTGTGGATAAGATGAAAGGGGTATTTTGTGGCAAGTTTTCGTCCTAATATACATGACTTCATATAAAATATTTTGGGGGAAAATAACCTTTTAATGAGAGTAAAATATGATTTCAGCAGTGTAAGGCTTTTACTGCTCTAAAGCATGCACTAACTGATGCAACCATGTATTGTGCCCTTCAGAAAATGTTGGACATTACCTTGTCAAAGAACAAAGTTAAATCTGATGGAAATTATGCAATATTTAGAAAAAAACAATGCAAAAGGTACCTTTTTACATAGGATGGTTGTTCCATTGATATATAAAATCATTATTTTGTCTTTATTGGTGTTCATTGATGTAAGGAGACAATAGCTTTATTTACCTGCACTTTAATTCACCTCAATCATATGATGGAAGAATTTATTTTTCTCTCTTTTCTTAGACCACAATTTCACAAGAGAACAATTAGACGTCGCATAGAGGGGCTCCAGCTGATGAAGACATTTGCATTTAGAACAATGCCATGAAATTGATTTAAGGGAAACTGCTGAGAAGCCATGAAAAAGTGGACCCACGATGACTATGCAACCCATCTGAAAATCAGGACTAGACCGGTTCAAAACGGACAATCCACTAATTAGAATGACTTTATCTTTGCCTGGTTTGAACTTGGCAAACATGCAGCACAGGACAAATGCATGAATAGGCTTGGATGTGGATTGAATCTGCCTTTTGTTTGCCGGGCCTTAGCACAGCCTCTTTTTCTCCAATAACAACATTCCTGTCTGTCCACAACCTGTGTAACTATACTTATGTAAAGTTATTACATGTAGTCACATTGGAGCTGTTTTTAAAAGATGGTATTTTGTTTTAGAAATTTTTTATATATATATATGTAAAGTGTGAGAAAAAAAAAATTTCATAAAATTTTTCATAACATTTTGATTCATGCCACTCAAAACTGTCTTAAACCTGTCGACATGTATCGAGGCTTGTGACCAATATCTGTACAGTTTAAATGAAAAGGTCTATTCTGTTTGCCTTTGAAGTAAGGGATGTAAAGCTTTAGAGTTTTGCTGTTTTTAAGTGTGATGCATGTAATTTATTTACAGAAAATCCTAAACTCTGTGAAGTTTTTTTTTTTTTTTTTTTAATCGGCAAGTTTTTAAATCTATTCTTATGAATAGAGCAACATGGGAAGTATTTTATTTTATATTATGAGAGAAAATGTTTAGATTAAAACTCAGGATTTTTATTTTTTCCTGCATTTCTATTGTGTGTAATTTTTCACAGTGCTGGTTGGTTGTTGCATAGAAGATGTCTGTGATGCAGTAACCCTGACCACCACAATAGAACAATAAACAGTTTCATTTTTACAAATGTTCATCCTGTCTTTATTTATGCTTAATATGTCAAATACTGATCATAAATAATTAAATTCTGCTCTATTGGCACAATGAAGATAGCACCACTGATGAACATAGCATCACTATTAAACCAATCTAAACACTTTAGCTGTGCTGTAAAGCAGTTAGCTGCAAATTCAAATATAGATGTTTATTAACAGATATAGACTGCATGGCACTAAGTTTGACACATAAAGTAAACTCTTGAACTCTCGTCAATCGGAGCTTAAGTCTGAAAGGAACTATTGATTGGCTATTACCTTGACTAATAAAGAGATGACGTTAAATGGCACTGATAACTGAATTGACATCAATGTCTGTACAAAGTTGGTAGCTCATTGGTCTCAATATGAGGAAACTAAATTATACTGTTCCAGTATAAGCAGCTGAATTACAAAGATAAGGCACTATCAAGAAGTGTGTACGTGCTGAGATTTGGTACAACTGTGTCATTATTGTGTCAGTTACAAATATTTAGTTAGATTAGTAAGTGAGAGGACAGAGGGGTAGGCAGCACTCTTATCTGTTACTTCATTTTATAGCCTTGTGTCATCCAACGACCTGTTTGACCCTTACAATGAATATTAGTATTTTATTGGGTTTAATATGAATAGCTCACCATGCAATTACTACTGTATCGTTCTTGGGTTTTTACTGTATTTTTTTATATTTCTTTTGAGATTCAAATGAAGACATATGTTTGAATTTAAAAGTCACTCTTTTATCCTACAGTAAAAGTTAAATGTACAGGTGCTAAAAATAAAATACAAATAGCTTATTTCTAGATAGATATTTGACAACTTTTCTTTGCAGAATTGATAAATGTAGATCAAATTAAGCATAGTCCACAATTTTTATTAATGTTGGTCCTAAATCCCTCAATATAGAGCAGGGACTATATAGTGGACTGTATAGTGAATTCAGTTAACTGGCCCTTCGGATGATCACTACTTTTCGCTCCCCGTTGATCACGTAACTCTGCCTCCCTGCACAGTGCCTGCGCCATCTTTGTTATCTGTCGCTGCCACAACAAATCACATGATGCTTTGCAAGAAGAGTTCTAGCAAAATAATCTTCGATATATTTGTCAGGCTCTGACCAGAAGGACCCAGTATTCGAGGCAGACAGTCAGTTGGATTTCTTGAAATGTTTATTAAAAAAGAAGCTGCAGGGAACAGTGTTTGCATCTAAGACAGGAAACTCTGCAGGAGGAGACAACAGGTTAATGACCATGTCTATCTGGCGGAGGATGAAAATTAACGTGTGAGTCACTAACCTGGTCTTATAGTTGAGTCAATGCCCAGACGATGAGGTTGGTTTCAGCCGGCTGGCTGCCAGCAAGATGTGGTGGGTGCCTCCCAGAGAGTCCCAGACGCTGATGTCCCAGAGGTCGGAGGACAGGCAGGATAATCTAGAGGGCGAAGCCAAAGCCAGTGTTGGAGAGGTGCTCAGGAGTCAGAGCCATCCAGGACAGTGTCGGGAAACAGTTCCAGGTTCATTCCACAGACAAGCAGATATCCAGCAGGAGTCTGAAGACAGGTCAGGCAAACAGATCAGAACAGGGACAGGCAAGCTCAGAGGTACAGAGGCAGAACGGGTCAGGATCAGGTAATCAAAAATCACAGGTACACTAGAGAACTCTCACCATAGGCTGGAATAATCTGGCACTGATGACTGGTTGAAGGCTGGTTAAACAGAGGCTGAAGCAGGTGGAGCCTGGAGGACATAGACAGGTTAATAAAATGTGTAATCAGGCCAGTCATCAGCACCAAGATCATGACAATATTTGCTGGTCTAGTGACGATGGATCATCATTACGATTCCTCTACTTTTTTAACCACTGGACGTTCGGACACCGATCCAAAATGGCGTAACCACTATATAGTGCTCTATATAGTGATTAGGGGCGGACGTTTAGACACAGCCAAACTCTAAATCATGTCACAGACTCTGTATCAAACTGACAACAAAGTCTGACATGACTCTAAATCTAAGTCTAAGTCAATGTACCAAACAGGCCGTCCTCTTAGGAGGAAGGACCTCCATGTTGTTTAGCTAAGATCTAATTAGATAACATGAACAATGAACTCAGTCTTGCTCAGAATTAAAATGAATGACTTTTACACCTACAATGACAGCATGTTAATCTCTTTCTTTGAATATGTGCAGCATAGGCATAATCATCTTGTGCTATGCTAATGTGCAGTGTTTCTGTGACCTTCAGTTCTGCTGACAGTTTAACATATTAAGCAAAAAGGAACAAAATGGAACAAATGGGTTAGATATAAATCTTATTTCTTCAGTTTTTTTCAGAGCATCACAGAGGTGAGTTTCCCAGCTCCTAACATGTTTTTCTTTGTACGCGGTCAACCATGCCGTGGCCTAAAGCCAGAGTTATGCAACTCTTAAGTGACAGTCTTGATTGCCCAATCAAGCCACAATTGCAGTGTGCCAGACTGAATGGATTCTTATCCACAAGTCTTTTATCTTATAATGATACATTTTGATGTTTAACTAGTTGATTTATTGATCACTGTGCAACTTTTAAAAAGATTAATACATCAATAAAACAACAGTTAAGTGTCGATGTTGCTCTGTGATGGTATACTAACAGGAAAGATATGCTAAAAAAAAAAAACACAGACCTGCTACTCCAAATCAAGCTTTAACATTTTTCAGATACTAATAGTACCAGGCATCTTCTATACATTTTGAAAATAAAAACAACTCTTTTTCTCACCATCTGACATGAAGACTTAACTTTTTCTAGTCAGCATTGTCAACATACTTCCTATTTGCTAAATTCCAAAATAATGGGGAATTGATTTTTACGTTTTCTTTTAAGCTTTGTGACTAAAGACAGGCATTTGGGTTTCTATCTAAAAGCTTCTCACTTTGGTGATTTGTAGGTCAGCTCTTCCACTCTACTTACACGATTTCTCTGAAGTTTAATTGTGAATACCTGTTTGTGTCACAGCTTTAACTTGCAGCATGATGCCTTAAGATAATTTCCAACAGTTAGGCGATTTTGTCATGATGCACCAGTCCCTCCTTCGTAACATTATCTTGCCACCACCATGCGTCATTTCAAACTTCCCTCAATTTTGTTATCATCAAGTTAGGTCTGGTTTTATGTTGCTTTTTCCACAGATTCCACAAGACGCTGATTCTCACTGGAAGTGACAGATTTTTACGTCAAGGCGCTACTTTCTCACCGGTAGCTTTAATGAAGGGGGGGTAGATTGTGTCTGAGAGCTGAACAGCTGATTAATGTGCAATATACTTATAAAATCAAGTGCATTTTAGCACATATTTAATGCAGTTTAATGACTACATTTATGGAGTTTAATAATGCACTATTGACTATTTTTTATGAATATACAGAGAAGGTTTAGCCTCCCTAGTATTCAATGTAAAATAACCACTGGCACCAGCACCACTGGCACAGTCTGCATTTATACAGATGTCATTGAACATCTTGACAAAGGCAGTCACTGTACTGTAGTGAAGAGAATACCTGGACAAAAGACCTCAAGTGGATGATCATTGTCAGGAAGGTGATGAAACACAGCTTTTTCGATAATTTCACTAAGAAAGGGAAGGTTTGAGGTGGGCCTGTAGTTTTGCAGCAGCATCTTGTTCAAGTTGCCCTTTTTTAACAGCGGTTTGGTAATTGCCGTTTTAGGGCCGGGGGGAAAACACCTGACAGAGTGAGCGTGTCTATTATTTAAGTTAGATCATGTGCTATGACAAGCAACACTTTCTTAAGAAGAGCTGTCAGTAAAACATTTAGGCAGCAGGAAGAATATCCTATTTGGTTTACAATTCCCACCAAGTTTTTATAGGTTGCTTGGAGCAATTGAGATAATTCGTCAAAATTAGTTGCAGTTTGTGACAACTTTGGTACAGGACTTTATATCAGTATATAGACTGCCCCTCTAATTTTTAGGGCTTTGTTTTTTTTAATTTTTTCTTTCTTTTTTTTTACAGTTAAGAAGTTAGAATATTCATTGCAGGCCCTGGTTCAGGGGAGAACAGATGCTACACAGTACATTAACAAAGAAGAAATATGCAATCTTCCAAAAAAATTTTTTTTTATTTTTTTTACAACTACACACAAAAACTAACTATCAAATAATGCAAATGAACTTTACAAAATAAAAGTCAAATCAAACTACAGTTTCAGTTCTTTTCAACCATCATCTTTAGCACAGTAGTCTGCCCCATTGGGTGTATGAAGTCATTATGTTCAAACCATTGCCAGATGTTAAAGAGAAAAAATGTGATGGAAAATTAAGTTATCTTAACTTGAAGACTCTTTCAAATTGGACAAGTTGTAACTCCTACCTTGTCTTCTTAGCTCCTATCCTTTTACCTTTTCCAGGGTCAAAAGTGAGAACACTAGCAAGGGTAGGAAAGGATTCCTCAGGCTGCTGAGTTGAATCTGGAGAGGCTTTAAGTATTACAGGCAAATTAATCAGATACACACAATGCTTTCAAATTGGGACTAAAACCTTCAGAAAGAACTACAAAGAACAAATGTCCCAAATATGGAGAGCAGCTGAAGCTCTCCATTATAAAACCCAAAACATATAAAGGTGCATACTTTTACATCTTGCACAGAGCACATAAAATACTAATATATTTTTGTGAAACGTTGTGCCTATACCTCCAGTCATGCAAAGGATTGTGAGTGATTGTATAACAAGGAATTACAGCCTGTTGTGGTAAATCTGAATAAGCCCTGACTTCATGCATGTCGTGGGTTGAATTGGGACTACAGAGTGCCAGAAAGGGAACTACAAAACATGAAAGTCACAAGTTGAGAATCGATCTCATGTAGAGAATTAATGAATCTTTCTGTTTTAAAATTTAAAGCATATGAAGGGGATGACATTTGCATTTGTCACACACACAGTACCTCACAAATAAAGTTTGTATTGTGTTAAATGCTGTAAGGTG